TTTTTTTTTTTTTTTTGGTACTGGGGATTGAACTCGGGTCTTTGCACATGTGAGGCAGGCAGCAGAACCACTGAGTTAAATCCCAAGCCCCTAACCTCTGTTGTTCCTAGAATTCATTCTTTGATTTTAGAGAACACAAACTCACGTTTCAGATACCTAGCAGGTATGGGAGTTGCATCCCTTCCCCTTGTATCATTTTGGAGGTCTTCCACAGAGATTACTGGTCAGAGTACCTCCTGGAGTAAGGATGTGATTTCCCTGAGGAAGACATGACCATGTGCTAGTAAAGAGGGCTGCCAAACTCTAAGCGGTCATACAAATGGAACCAACTGCAAATGTGCTGGACATCTTTTACCAGGATCCACCAGATCGACCTTGTAAACTGCTCCTGTTAAACTATCCAACTTTTCTATGTTAGATTCTGAAGAGTCCTGACCTTCTTACCCTCTTTGTGGGAGGCTATTATTAGTTCCTTCCGGTGGAAACATTTGTTGGCTATATTCATAGCAATCCTGCTGATATTATTTGGCCCATGTATTCTGTTTTGTTTTGTTGTGGTTTTTGAGACAGGGTCTCACTGTGTAATTGAGACTGACCTGGAACTCACTATGTAGCCCAGGCTGGTCTCGAACTCACAGTGATCCTCCTGCCTCAGCTTCCCGAGTGCTGGGATTACACAGGCGTGTGCTACCACGCCCGGCTAGCCCATGTATTCTTAACTGTTTCTTGGGCTTTGTCTCCTCCAGACTCCAAGTTAAATACCTACCCAAGATGTCAACGCCTGGTGCCTATCAAAGGCCTTTAGAGGACCCTCTGTAGAGTAACTGGGAAGGCTGATCACAATTGTGACCCTCTTCAGCCGGAAGCAGCCAGACCTGTCTTGCCTTTTGCCCCCTCACAGCAGTTAGGGGTACTTCTTCAGAGAGAGGAATACTGCAGATAGGTAAGTTAGTTAGATCTCTTGTAGGCAGTTAGTCAGGGCCAGCCCAGGAGGAGCCAACATGGAGGGCAGTCAAGGAGCCAATTTAGAGCACAATCCAGACCTATTCACTGAAGGCCAGAACTGTAAAAGGAGAGAAACTACCACACCCATTTAGGATGAATAGCAGCAATATTCTAAATAGGTATCAAAGGGGTGGGGGACCAGGCCTTTCCTAGAAAGATCCCTGACCCAGTCCTTTTCACGGAAAATCCTTGCTCATTCCTTGCACGCTTGCTATGCTGTTTCCCCATTGGATCCCCCATTTAATCAATGTTACCTGGGTGACTGTACTTGTCATCTTATTGGCTGGTCATGGTTCTGGTCTACCTCATGACCACCTTGTAAATTTCCATGGGTCTTATAGTTCTGTCCCACTTTGTACCCACCTCACCACACGGCTTTGCTGTATAAAACATCTTTGAAAAGGGGGTGGGTGGGCAGCCCACTTTTTGGTACCCCTTCTCTCTTAGCAGCTTTCTTTCAAGAAATTGTTCCTACTCTTTAAAAAAAAATGCCTTCTGCAGGGCCCCAGGCATAGCAACATTACCCTTCATAAAACCACTGTTACTTTTATTTTTCATCTTGTACATCTGGTGCTTTTATCTAAACATTTACACATCAACCAACCTTTAAAAAATGGCAATTTTTTCTCAGATGTCATTTATTAGAAAATACAATTCCAGAGAAAGTAGAAGATACAAGGAGTTTGGGGAATGGGTACAGTACAGACCTCTTCAAATCAGGGGCACAGAGGGTCAAAATAAAATGAGTTACAGGCAAAAAGCTAGTAACACATCTATGGTCCATTTATCCAGAAAAGGCTCTACCCCTCCCCGTTCCCCCAGAAGACAGCTTTATCCTTGGCATTTTTAATGTAAAAGAAAAATCTAAACTTCTTTGCTGCCCTGCTCCGTCAGTGAGTGGAGTTGCTTTCCTCAGCACCACTCCAATCCAGCCTCCTCCAGACCAAGGAACACCCCTGGGAAACAGTGGTGCTGTGGGCTCCTGCACCCCACGGCCACGCTCCTGACTGGGCAACCCTTTGGTTCCAAAATAGCTTTATGGCCCCACAGAATGAGGGAAATTCTTAGAAAAATTGTGACAGAACAGGCAACTGGGGGAGAAGCAGCACAACAGAAAGAAGTGGAGGGAAAGAGGAATGCTTTGCAGAACTGACAGCAGGCAGCCTCGCTGGCATCCGCTCCTAGAGGACCAGGCCCCTGCCCTTGGGTGAAAGCACATCTGAGGGCCGGGCAGCATTTTGTCCCACCAGAAAAGAATTACTTGAGAGAGACCTATGGGGAAGCACCCCCAGCGTACTGGCAGGGACAGGACGGCCCACAGCAGGGCAGAGAGGACAGAGAGGGTGTGGAGGAGACATATTCAGGCCGAGTCCTAACCAAGTAGGGGAAATGAGAGGAAAAACTTGCCCCTAAAGAGCATGGGTCCCTGAATACAGGTCCTTGGTGGAACCCCGATACGGAAGGCCCTTCCTTACACCTGTAGGCATCACGTCGCTCTCCTTTGGAGGCAAAATCAGAAAGGCCCCGTGCGGGCCTCAGTCCAGCCCAGGCAGCGCCCCCTCCGGCCCCCTGCCCTGCACTAGCGGAGGCTCGGCCCCGCCTCGAGTCATTCCGATAGCTGGAAAACCAAACCGAGCCGAACAGCGAGGGAAAAGTCCAGTAAGAGCCGTCATCACACAAAAGTCCAGTCTCCCTCTCGCGCCTTCTGAGGCGTATGTACGTCCCTTCTCGCAAGGCTTCCTGTCCCACGTAGGACATTACATTTCATTTTTTAAAAATAAAAATAAGGATATCCACCCACCCTCCCCTGCGCGGCTACCTCGTACAGCCCGCCCCACACACCCCGAACCAGGCAGTGCTCCCTTGACACAAGGTGAACTCGAAACTTCGCTGCTACCTCACAGCTTCTGGGCCGCTCAGCACGGCCCACCCAAGTCCAGCCCGCGGAGGAAGGGGCGGCCGAGAGCACCTTTAAAAATAAAAATAAGGATATCCACCCACCCTCCCCTGCGCGGCTACCTCGTACAGCCCGCCCCACACACCCCGAACCAGGCAGTGCTCCCTTGACACAAGGTGAACTCGAAACTTCGCTGCTACCTCACAGCTTCTGGGCCGCTCAGCACGGCCCACCCAAGTCCAGCCCGCGGAGGAAGGGGCGGCCGAGAGCACCGAGCACC